AACGTTACATAAATATTGCACAGGCTTTCGTCTTATTTTATAGTCTAACTGTTCCTTAGAGTAACGTCTGGATCGTGTTCAATAATTTTCGTTAGTTTAACTTTGAAATTACTCTTTGAATTTTATTTACATTAATAACTGAATAGTGCAACTAATTTTGCCCAAGGAATTTTTACTAATATATTACTTAGATTTATTTTAATCACTTTTCTCATAACTGAAATATCAGTGATAGTATTATATATAACATATATGTGTCAGGTTTTACGTTGCATATGGTTATTTGTTCATGATTCCAAGAGTCCCTGATATCTGAAAGGTTTGATGTTGCTGATTACATAATAATTTTATTTTATCCATTCGTTATACACATATTTTTCAGTTTAAAACTCAGTTACGTAAAGAAATCTAATCTTCAGTACTTGAACTCATTCATGATAATAAAAGTTGGATGCATGTACCCGTAACTTGATAAACGTTTTTTTATCAGAACAATGCTAAACTGATCATTTTGTATAGTGTTTTCTTACATTGGTATCTAGTTTAATCATTTAGTTTAAAATATGCTTGTCTCGATTCTGTAGCGTTAGATTTATTCATATATTAATAAGCTTACATTAATGTGTAGAACTTAGTTTTATATAAAATTTATCTTTAAAAGGGTTTGGACAAGGAATGGCCATCCCTACAAGCTCTTGTTACTCATTTGACTGTCATTCCAGAGATGCTTCCATGCCCTCTCAAGCTTCCACAATATACTGCTAATCCAATCTTTACACAGTCCGATTTGCAGTTGACAAATGGCCCATCAAACGAAATTCCCAAGCAACAGCGTAACTATAACATCAGATCATCACAAACAGAAGCGGGTGAAAATAATCGTGTCACTAATTCAGACTTATCTAGTCACCATCCCCAGCGTATACTTCATTCAGTCGCAGATCTTCCTTGTAGACCAGTCCTACCATCATGTGCTACCATTTCTCATTTCAGCCCTGCTAATCCTTTTGATCAAAACTTATCATCCCACAACATGATAACAAAAGATCCATCCGTACTTGGCAGTTATCAAGTATCAAATTTATCACAATGCAAATCACAAATTCCTAATTGGTTAGGTAATGACAATAATCATTTGTCAACTAAAAATTCATCAGAGAGTTCAAATCAAATATCTTTGAAAACAGATTGTGTTCTTTGGAAACAAAACTCCGTAGATTTAGCATGTATTTCTCAGTCTGAGTACACAGATGAACAGCGGTTCATGAATGAAACTAATAACAGAAATAATCGAAAATTAAGTTATACAACAAACGATTTACCAAAAAATAATGCTTGTTTATTGCTAGATTACTCAGAAGAAGATGAAGATTACCAGCGTTTGTCTGATTTTTCTTCCATATTGGCTGATTTAAATCTTGCGCATGAAAGACCTTTGACTAGTTGTTAATGAGACTTTTTCAATCATACTACTTAAAGTATACTATTTGTTAATATCTATTCTACAGTAAATTCATTTCAGCCACATCATCCATATTCTATCATACCTACTTTCATAGTTCATAATTTGTATAGTGACGAAGTAAAATGGTCTATTTACAATATAACTTATTTTTCTCTGACTCACTGAATTCAAATGCTTGGTAGTTTTTTTTTATTATGTACAATGGTTCGAACTACAATCACCATAATTCTAAATGAGCTCACATGAAATCGTATCTCTTTTTAAATGAATACAATATTAATTTGTTTATCTCCTATGTTTCATTTGTCTTATTTGCCATTCCTAATGGCTGTTATTACATAATTGTCAGGTTAGGCTACTTAAGTTATTTTGCTACCTCTGTTGGATATATTCTATAATTGGTTTCTTATTACTGTTTTCACTGTGTAATATATAAACTGGGGGACTTTTTTGCCATTCTTCTTAGTTAGATCTTTGCCTACATATAATGTTTACAATCACGAGCATACATTTATATAAATATATCGTGTTCTACTTCCTCTTATCGTCATTATTACAATGCATAAAAGAGATTTTCTAATTTGGCCTTTATTTGTATGCGAATCTTTTGTTTTCGTTTCGTTTTTTTGCTTACTTCTCTGTTGTCACTTCAGATCATACAAAAACTCATTATGAGATAATGACAAAATGAGATTCCTCAAATATATATATATATATACATATATATATAAACACAAAATCTCTTGGTTTTTTGACCTGGGTAACGGTAGTTACAATTATATACAGCTTATATTCATGGTAACACGTTACATGAAACTAAAATGGGGACGTCGACCACTGTAATGTAGTTAATTGACTTAAGGCTAATGTTGTCCTTTTCATGCGACCACAACAATGTATTGCTCCACAGTTTAGAGTAGAAAAAACCACAGTTCAAAGGAAGCGCATGATCAAATAAAATGTCCCCTTTTGATAGGAGAATTAGGTCTTTACATTCTCTAATTGGACTTCACGATAAGTTAGTAATAAGGCACCACGCTAACAGAAGTTCTCAGTATTCGCCTTTATTGGTCGACCTGCACTTATGAACAAGTCTTTTAACGTAGGGACTTCGATATATTGAAATACAGATCTCAGCTAGCAGGCGCAAGTCTAAAGTTGGTATCGCGTATTGTGACCAACTGAATGATTTCTGTTCACAACGAACCAGTAAAACGCTTCGAATTTGCTCTCTCCTAAAATGACAGTTAATTCTAGTGCATCTCAATATCTTAATTAGAAATATTTCATGTACGCCTCCCTTTAATAAAAGCGTCTACTTATTATTGACTTGTAATATTATACCATTTACAGGTGAAATCACAACATTCGGCAAAATTGATATCAACAAATATGTAAAGGATAAGAACAAGAAAAAACTATGACAGTTGTTAAGTCAATTCTTACTAAAGTTTGGGGATAGGAATCGACATCATATTATACTCAAAAAGATCCGTCGTGGGTCACCTTTGATGCTACCAGTAAACTATAAAGCGCACGGTTTATTAAGATTCTGATTGCAGTGATATATATTAACTGGATATAGCCGCTTATCTCATAAACTTGCCACTCCCCTTCATGCTCAACTTTGTCATAGGTTCCCTTTATATATGAGATGCTACGATATAATAACAAACAGCGGCACGGATGGGAGTTTTTGATGATCTCATCGGTTCAGTAATGATATTACACACCGTTAAAAATAGTGTTACAGCTTTAGTAGCCATTAAAAAGAGAAAGCACTGATATTTAAGACCATGTCATTTAAGTATGTAGATTTTACCAACCAATAGTCAAATACGCACCGGATCGTTGTCACTTGTGGTGCAGATTAACGCACGTCTATTACTTTTGCTATGCGAGCATGTTTGAAATCCATGTTTTGTCATCACATAAAATATCCTGAAAAGACGGATATTTCGATCACGCCGAAACACGGTCAAAACGGTGTGCCGATGCGATCACTAAGTCAGTTATACGAAATGCATAACTCAGCACATATATATATATATATATACATGGGTTTAATTTATTACACTGTATCGGCACATTGAGATGAAATTACCAAGGTAGCAATGGCAATAACAGTACTAGTGGTGAAAAGGACTAGATAAAACGATTGGAGAAAGAACACTTTAAGCAAAACATTGGTCGGGTACAAGGTTGATTTTGGAAAAGTGCGACCACAAAATTGCTTGCTTCTATTGCTCTCAGGCTATTTAAAGTGGTAATATATCTTTCATTAACAAGTAAATTTCGATTCAGTGAATCAGACCCTTTAGGCCACTTAGTTGAAATCTTTAATGCACCAAGAATTCAAGATTTAAAGGAAGTGTGCAAGCAGTGACTACACTTTAGTGATGGGTAGGCTAATGCTCCAATACTTTTAGGAATTAAGTTGAACCTACCAAACAATCACTTTAGTTGATATCTCATCATCGTTACTGAGTGTCAGGTGGATCTCCCTCTTCAGCTTCCTTGAAGCATGCTTCACCGGATCGAAAACCTTACGCAGGTTACACAGAACTATATGCTCTGGCGTTTCGCGTCCTATAGAAACAAAACGCCATCTACACCAGGATTCTGCATTAGACTATTTATAACTAGATTGCTAGGAACTTACATTTATAGAGCTGATTTTATGTACAATGTCTTAGGACGAATCCGATTGAAATAATAGTACTTCGAGCAAAATGATCCACCTAGTTTCCAGAACTTGTGTTTTCTATTCACCTGGATTTTCTGTCACTCATAACCCTAACTCGACTGATTCTAACTACTTTTCATCATAAATATGATCGTATAGCTTCAAATACGGTATTATTATTTACTTCATAATAAACACTACAATCCCATGTATAAAACTTAAAGACTCATACTCGTCATTTTTCTTTTCATCTGTTAAAACCATCTGATCGGCGTCAACTGAGTTCAGTTTATTCATATCTTAAATTATAAGGGACTTCCCTACTTTTAAATCAAGGTAGGCGATAACTGTAAGGTTAATATATAGCCTCTGGTAGGAATGGGATCTTTAGTATAGAGGTAACAGGAGCTGTATTAACACAATGGCTAGTAACAAATGCACGTCATATGCCAACTTCTGCCTACATCAGATTACAAGTCGGTGCTTATAAATAATTTTGGTCTAATGATGCGGTCATCCACTGGATATCTATTCTTTACTTAATTAGAAATCAAACAAATGAAGACAAAAGCTACATTATGTACAATAAGAGAAAATTCCAACCAACTTCTGAATAGTATAGGAAGGCGATTTTTGGCGAGATAGCAGATAGTTGTTATTTAACAGCTGCTACTATATGCATTTACCCATACAGATTACATGCAGGGACACCTAGAAACTTCACACTTCCGATTTTTCAGAGCTTAGTTATGCACCTATCTTAGGAACTTGTGGTATGCAGTGACTTTACTAACCCAATACATGAATCGCAATAAACTGCAGTAGCTAAACACAGCTTCACTTATAACCCTTTTATTCAGTCCCGTTTAACTAACAACTGGAAAATATTGCTAATGATCAGACCCAACTGAACTAGTAAATGTACCACGCGGATTTGAATCACATAACACTTGTTATTTCCTAAACGGTAGGGACCATACGTTCGCAAAATATGAGATGTAGAGAAAGTAATTTACCGTTGGAATGAAAACAAATCCCTTTAATACACGAAAAACCATCATCGACTGCATACTTTACTAGTAAAGTATTACTCTTCTCACACACCCGTCTTGACGCACCATAAACTACACTTCGGAAAGCGAAAGTATGAAGGAGCCGAAACAGTCTTAGGAATCATTCCAATACCAAAAAATGCCTAAGGTAAGAAGATTCAATAAACAAGTGAAATCCAAGTAATGTATGCAGTTGAAGTAGAAATCTATTAGGTAAGACAATGTCAATAAAAAACTTTGCATATGATGCAGCAGCAAATCTAAACAAGTAATATAATGTGAAGTTCAGATGATCTGCATTGTTACTGCTTTCGTATTAATCAGAAGTCAATGTTCGAGAGGAAAAATTCACTGGGTAAGTTAAGGTTTTGACAATACTGTTTTAGTTCATTGGAATTTACTTAGTTTCAACATTTCAATATGGTCTTCTTATTCGGTACAGTCATCGGTGAGGAATCAAAATTCACCGAAATGTTGAATACTTTGTCTGAAGATACAGTACTATAACATCTCGAAGATTTACACTCATCTTTGGGTATAACTAGAGTACAGTTCTTCCCCATCATATTAAAACTATAACTGAAATGATGAAACACTTTCCCAAGATGTGAAATTCAATAATGTGCGGTCACAAAAGACGGATTCTTAAAAATATTTTATATTCTGGAACCTACCATGAATTCGTTGAAAGATTATTTTTAAAAATCATCCAAAAATTCAAGACTTGACTAACAGAACAATAATACAACTAGGTAACTGACTTCAAATAAAACTGTTAGGGAATAAATTACAATGAAGACCATAATTTACACTAGTATGTACAGAAGTAACCCAATCGATTACCAATAAACATATTTAAGAGAAGTTACTGAAAGCTTTTGTAGGTTATGCATTTTGTATGGAGAATGGAAAGACGAAAAATGAATGTGAGCATTTGAAGATGATCAATAAAACCGCCCTAACAACAAAATGCTGATGCAAGCATCGAAAGACAAAGGTGAGCTGGAATTAAGTTTAGGAACACAAATGGATTTCGATATTCCTGTTGATATGCATTAGTGTCATGAGGTGTATCCTCACAATTCTGTTTCAAAAGATAGCCAATCTCGTAATTTAGGAGGTTGTGACATTGATCTGTGTGTATGTTTAGGATGTCCGCCTCTTTTTATTAATGTACCAGAGTCTCTTAACGTTGAATTACTGAATACAAGTGGATGTTGAAAACTATTTCGGTTAAGGTGTCGCCCGTGGGACTCGCTGGATATAATCTGATAAGTGGATTGTGAAGTCATAGGTAGATGTGATCCTAACATTCCAGAGAAAAAAAGTGAGTCTGACTGCGCCTTGGAAGATTTTAAATCGTTAGATGGGAACTGTAAACTGCTTTGTCTTGGGATTGGATGAGTATTTAACCGTTGACACATTCTTCCTGAAAGAATAGGTGATATGTTGCTTGTGGACAGAGAGTTATTAACCAGTGAGTTGGAACTTGAATCAGTAAAATAAGATGGTGAATTTCTACCAAGCGTACTTATATTCTCTCTGGCCACCCAGGATGTACTAGATGGTTTATTTAGATTATTTTTATCGAGTTGGTTGTCATAATAATAATAGTAGAAATAATGATGATGGTATTGTTGTGGAGACGTATTTTTTCCTAAAATGGTCCCATAGTTCGGGTTTAATATGGATGAGGTAGAATTTGGAATTACTGGCGAGCGTATACGAGTGGTATCATTGTGTACACATATTGAAGAATTTTGATCGACTTGAAGATTTCTTTTAATTTGTGGTGGTTTGACTAACCATCTTTGGGCGGGAGAGCGTTGTAACTGAGCACCAACAGAAGAAGAACGCGATTGGCCAACTACTTTCCGTTTGTTTATATGGGGACGACCACAAATCAATTCCGTCCTTGAAGAACCAGAACTTTTATCTTTTCCTTCGGAATCATTATCTAAAGGGGTACGCTTTTCATGTTTCGTGCCAGCACATAAACCAACTCCTTTATTCGAACTGGGTTCAAATTTTTCATTGAGTGATGTTAGTTGATTATGAACAGAATTTCCCGTAACAGGTTGAGATGTAGGTATATGAGTTGTTCTAGATGATAGGGATAACGTACTCCACTGATCGTAACCACTTATTGAATGCACAGAGGAGACTTGACAACTAGGATGATTAGAAAACGAATCTGACACAGTGGGACGGATCGACGAATCAGATCGACTAACATTGTTTTCCAAAATATTGTTCAAATATTTATTGGGTTTATTGACTCTGAGAGTGTACGATGGTTTGGAACGCTGAACTGCTGGTAAAGGAGGGATCCCATTAACGCTTCTGTTAGATAATACCATATCAAGAACTTGGGAGGAACTTGGTGGGCGACTATCACTTCCAAGAGATCCAGGAGAACTATCAGAACCTGCAGATCCGTAGCCTGAAGAACCCTGGGAGAGAAACTTAGTGGACTTTCCCTCTAGCAGGTGAATAAAATTTTCTGAACTCTGATCAACTATTGTATTTTGGGTCTTAAAAAAATGAGGATTTTGACCAGCAGAAAACTGTTCACTAATTGTAAATGACGAAAGTTGAGGGGAAATATTTTCGTTAACAAAATGGTCAGAAGTTACTGAAGATTTGTGAATAGTGAACTGTGCTTGCTCGTTAGAATCAGAATTTACCTTAGGTGCTGCAACTAATGTAACGTCTAACTCAGCTTGATTATTTATATTTTCCCATGATGCCTTCTTCGAATCAGAAGAGTCATCAAGAGAGATATTACTCACACCCCTGGAAATATCTGGACTATGAGTAGTCACTGATTCAGGAGATTCAACCGTGTTAGTCAGAAAATTCATAGAGGATGTGATACTTGTAGGAGTTTCGCAATCCAAATTATTGGTCGTCCTTTCATCTAAACACTGTAAGTGTGGTAATGGTAATCCCTTAAGCCACTCTAGTACATCATGAGGCTCCTTGTTGTGCCGAACAAAAAATCCAGTACTCATTAATGAGCGATATTTTGGGCGCTGAGTGTGGTCCTTTGTTAAGCTAAAAATGAAAAGGAGGATAATATCGTAAATTTTAAACAAATCAAACAGACTAATCAAAGAGGAAACCAACTGCTTACTTTTCCGTTCTTACAAGGCTGGGAATATGGAAATTCTATTGAGCCAGTCAAAAATTTGAGCAAGAAGGGACCTACTTACCTCTAATTTGTTCTGCTAGGACCGACTATATTTTTGACGTGAAATATATCAAGCAAAAAAGGAGAATAATATACCAAGTGAGTTTATTCGACAAACCTACACATCATAGCCGGCAATTGTTTTTTCACCGTCTTATTTTAGAGCAGAAATAAAACTCGCCGTCTAAAGCATAAGAGCGAGCATACACACTCTGTTTATGTATGTTTGTTTTAATCAAGTGATGCAGTGAATAATAACTAGCACACTAAATAGAAATAAAGCCAAAATCAACAAAGCCTGGCACAAATGTGAACCAACCTCACTTCTTGCACCACATGAGCAAAGCGAGATGAAATTAACAAGATGAATGAAAGCATCAATCATAGAGACTGAACATTTTGGAATGTAGGTCAAAGATAGGATGAATTAGAGGAGTAAAAAGTAAGAAATAATATTGGCGTTCAAAAATTAGGGGTGAACGTATCCCCACAACTGTGACTGATTCAGTGATACTACCCGTCTCAAACCACTGATTTTGACTGTTGTGCGCATCCCACCCTTTTCGTGTGCGTTCACTCTACCCGGCCATTATTTATTTTATTTATTTTAACACACAAACATTGGTACAGGTGGGCACCAGATATGTATGCGCTACACAAAGTACCCGACCATACATCAAGTAGTAAGAAACAAAACAATTATTTGAATTTAATAATCAGCACTTATAAACTTTTACAAGTCGAAATAATTTCAATTGACTTATGATTCCAACAAAACCACTTACATAGCTAGCTAACGCAGCTACTAAATTTCCAAGTTTCTGTGTCTAACAATGGTGCGAAAATAATTATAATCTACTTTCTTACACCCAAATTTGCATTGAAATTTTTGAAGACAAAAGTTACAATTAACTCTCAAAACAGATTTGTTGACATATACTGTATCCAAATAAAAAACTGGAAATGCAGACGGAGATAAACGAAGAATCATGAGTACTTTTCATGTAAAAGTGGTCTAGAATTAAAGTGAGTGTATGAAGGTGATAACATTAGATGAATGTCTAACTCGAAACAGAATTATTTTGAATACAAAATCTTTTGAGACTTGCATCTATCGTTAGTGAATTCGAAAATGCCTTTCAGTAGACAAAAAATACTAGATCGCTTCTCGGCTCCCTGAGCTACGATTGTGGGCAGTATTTGTTCTTTGTAGTGTAATTTCTCCAACGGTCTACAAAATGAGACCAATGAAACTACCTGTATTTTTCATCTCGAAACGGGTGCTGTGAGCTTCTTCAACCCCTGTCCACGGGTCGGCCTCGTGTTGCATTACCTCGAGGACTGGTGTCCCAAATGCTCTGGTACGGCCGAGAGTGGGAGAGTTATCTCTCCCTCTCGAAATGCCCTCACATGGCCACGTGCACATAACCACTGCAAGGAAAATCCTACTCACTGCCTTCTTGAGGCGGGGGTGTTGTTTACGAAAGTGAGAGGACGAAAAGCGAATGTCCGGCGCTTTAACCGGGTTGGTGGATATGGAATGTCCACCTAGGGGAGTTGGAAAACCCTGATTCCAAACCAATGGTATACATGGGCTCCGGTATCCTGAAGGAACAAATGGCGTACGAACCCATTGTTAGTCACCGGCTACTATACAACTGTGTCTCCTAAAGTTGCTCCACTGCCTTGTGGATAAGACCTCTACGTCAAAGGCTCGGGGTGTTGCACCCTAGTACAATCACCGGCTTCGGTTTGGGCACATGGGCAGTATCCCAGCCCTCACACAAATCGAAGGAACCATGTGACGCATATCTATTTGGTGCCTCCTTGTACCAATGTTTGTGTTTAAATAAATAAACCAACTGACTTGCTGTACCATAACTAACACGATCCACCTTTTTAAAATGATACAGACAAGATGAAAGAGGATAAAAAGACATGGTGCTTAGCAAAATATGCGGAGATAAGAGATAACCAAAACTTTACAGCAATAGAAGAAAACCAACAGACTTACCATAGCTCGACGAATTGACGGAACGCAGGGGTAAAAGGTATATGGTGAGGTAACGATGGAGGTGGGTCTGATATTATTTTAGTCATAATAGCAAATTCAATATGGGTCCCAGTATATGGGAAAGATCCGGTTGCCAATTCCAATAATGATATTCCAAGTGACCAAATGTCTGCACGAACATCATATGTTGAGTTGTTTAGACGTTCTGGAGCCATGTAGCCAGTGCATCCCGGCTGCCGCGAACGGGCAATAGAATCTTTAAGAATCCCACTTATCCCGAAGTCACATAACTTAATTACACCTTGGTAACTTAAGAGCATATTAGACGGTTTAACGTCTGAAACTTAGTAAAATAAGAACATTACCTCTATGCATAACGTTATGTTTTCGTTTCAAATAGTCCAAAGCAGTGGTAATCTTTGGAAAAGATCAAGTAGACTGAAACAAACTTACAGCAACTGTCACTTTCCCCAAAACCTTTTCAGGAAATGGACGATGAAGATCATGATACAGCTTATCTAAGCAGGTTGACATGACTTCCATGCATATCCAAACATCACCCTGGGCGTTAAAAAAATGGTAAGATAAACTCACTCCGGAGAAGAATATCCCGTAGCACTCAACGATATAAGAGCAATCGAAACATTTCGTAACAATATTTAGATCCATCATGATACGCTTATTTTCCTCTTCATATGTAGATGACACACGCATTTGTTTAACTGCCATTACTATGTTGGGCTTGGTACGATGTCGCATTTTGTACACAGAGCTACACGTACCGGAACCCAGACAACCTTCGTTTGCAAAATCATCTGTTTTAGCGAGCAAAACCTAAGCCAACAATAATAAAAACAACCATTACCTTGTTTCCAAACAGTAGGACGCCACTTCTTTTGGTAATTTCTTTTTGCAAAGATTCAAAATCATATCTGTGCTGTGTGAGTGATTTAACGATGCTACAAACCTATCGTTTTGTTGATTAGTATTAACGGAAACATCTCGCTGTCGACTCTTTGAATGTATTGCAGGGGATTCAGAACGTTGTCTTTCACATAGCACTACGCAAAACGCATTATTATTGAAGTATGAGAATTACAGGCTGTAGGGCGCTGGAAACGGGTGACATTTCTGCGCGGGGAACCGACCGATGTTGAATTGCAAACATCAAATCCCGACCCATTTTCAGAAGACACCAGAAACTGTCGGGCTGAACAACCAACCGAGAGTTCATTTGACATAGGTAGACTACTGCGCCATAAAAATATTAGCTGGTGATGGGCTTAAACAACATTGATCATATCAAAAGTATTTTGTAAAGGAAGCGATAGAGATCATGCCCATAGGACAAATAATATGTCTATCTGCGAGTTACTGCATCAGTGAATTCAAGTGGTGCCAAACAATAACACGTTAGTTATGCAGGTAATCACCATCACATATAAATTAAATGGTTTAAGATCAATAGTCATTACGCAATATAAATAAGGTCATTTTACTGATAAAAATTGAATTCTACAATCTTCGTACCTAGAAGATCGAACGCTGTGCGCATCTCTCATTTCAGTTTTCATCTGGCATACCACAGTCATGGAGATTATCAAAAAACGATTAAAATGTCACAGATGTTCAGGTCTTAACAACTCTTTTGCTCGTAATCAAAAGACACCGACACAGTCAAGCAAGAAGTCAGAAATGGAGAGTTTCGATGAAGATGGTCTGTGTGTGAAGCTTGTTGTTGTGAGGAATGTATAGTCCTGAACACCCAATCTTGACCTGATGAGGGTGCTGGGCCGAGAGGATCCAACTAAGGACTTTTTCAGTGAAATTAATGGGTTATTATCAACGTCAAAAACTTAAAGAGCTATTGATTTTGGGGATTTATTCACCGTTACAGCTCAACCCCTCATGGCGGGGTAGTGATGACCCCAAGATGTGGCCAGCCACAAGTTTGAACCCGACGAGTGGATAAGTACTCTTCTGATAGCTTGATATGTTATGCACCGTCTGGTCCTCTTTCATTACTTTAAGGAGTCATTTAGTACAATATGATAAGGAAAAACAGGTAGAATGAAATTTTCAACTTATCGTAAACTTCGTCTGTTTTCTAACTTTTCCAGACGTATTGGATACGAAAAAAAGGCTACGTTAATGCATGTCGAATTACATCCGTACATGCTTAATGACACAAAATAGGCTAAAAAAGAGAATAAACTCATACGCATACGTTTCGCAAACATGCAATAGCGTGAAAACGATCTCTGCAGAATGGGTTTTTGCTTTTATTTTGAGAAAAACAAATAAAAGGTATACACATATAAACAAGCATATTAGCAACGAAATGATTTTTCGCTGTTTTGGATGAAAAATATTTGTGTGTGAGCATATTAAATAATTTGTTGCTTTCGTTTTTTGACACAACGCAAGGAAAAACCGAGATATGCCAAAATTGTTTCACTCTAAAGGATCCTTCGTATGCTGTTTGGAGTTGCCGTCGAAGTGAGTTGCGAAGTACAAAATATGTGTACTATATCATATGACAGGATGAATGAATATATCCGTTGACTGCGATCAAGTGGAAACAGGTTTAACTGAACACACTGTGTATGTAAGTCTATTCGTGTAAGAATTCGGATCCATACTCTTTGGGGAAGATGAAGGATCCACGAATTCTTCAGGAAGTCGGAGTGTCGTTCGATAGACGGGATGAGCTGCAGTGTATCCAATGTCAGCTTACATTGTGTTGAGAATACCAAATAAAACGAGTGAAAGAGCGTCAGTCTAACGTGTAATTTTTGCAGCTGATAGTGAATCATTAATCTGTTCGTGAAAGCGTTCCACCAACCTATTTGCTTGTCAATAGTAGGCGGTCGTATAGTATAGCGTTATTCCTAATAGTGTATTCAGATAACGGAAAAGTTCAGATTCAAACTGGCTTCCACGGTGTGTAGTAATAGTTGAATGGCTACCAATCGTTCGACGAAAGCGTTGGCCACTGTTTCAGTAGTAATGTCCTTAATAGGTACTACTCATGACCATCGAGTAAAACAGTCTACGTAGGTTAAAATGTAAGAGTATCCATTTGAATCTGGTAAAGGTCCTACCAAATTCAGATGAACATGGTCGAAACGAGCATCAGGAGTTTTGAACGAGACGAAGGGACATTCGTTGTGTCTGATCATTTTATATTTCTGGTAGCTCACACAGGAGCGTGCCCACATCCTTATATCTTTATTCATACCAGGCCAACAAAATCGTTGTGCAACGTATTGAAGAGGTTGCGCCGATAATGGTCCTGCACAATTGGGAGATCTCTATCCGTAGATGTGCCACATAGTAAGATTTCCTTACCTGTTCACATCAGTTTAATGTACAGTTTCACAGTTGTTGAGGCTAACTCGTGTTGAAGATCAGTGTCTTCCTTTTGAAGCTGGGTAAGTTTAAGAAGGCCGATTCCTTTGAAACTGTTCAAGGAATCTATATGAGACAAGGCATCCTCAACTACATTGTTTGCCCCAGAAATGTGTTGTATATCTGGAGTAAACCGCAAAATGTAGTCCAGTTGATGAGACTGTCTAGGGGAGTGCTTGTCTGTAGATTAGCCTAAAGAGAAAGTAAGAGGTTTGTCCTCAGTGAAAAGAGTGAACTCTCAGTCTTCAGTAGTGTCCAAAGTGCCATACATCACAATGTTTGGCCTGGAGTTCCATGACCGAAGTGCTGTACCTCGATTCAGTGTCTAGCAACCATCTTAAGAAGAACACTAAAGGTTCCTACGTGTAGTTAATCAATTGTTGCAAGACTCCTCCGACTGCCAAGTTGGATGCGTCTACTGCGATGCCAATGAATATTTCGGTGTCCTGGTGTACGAGCTATGCTGCTTTGACGGTCAGTTTCTTCATTGTTTCTTTTCACGATGTCCAATTTGTTGATTGTCCCATTTCCACAAAGTTAGTAGATTAAGGGTCTAATAAGAGACGCGCGATTCGGTATGAACTGTCTATCCAAAAATACTAAGCTATTAAATATGAGTGGTTGTTTGATTGTGGTCGGATCTGGATTGTCCAAAATGACCGCCACTTTTCTTTTCAGAGGTCGGATGCCTTGAGCATTATTTGTATATCCGAGAAAATCTAGAGTCAGTGCCAATATGACATTTCTGAATGTTTACGTTAGTGCCATTTTCGCATTCGTTCAAAACAATGTTTAGATGCTGGAGATGAGATTCTCTGTCCGAACTTGTAATCAAGCAGTCATCAACATACACATGTACGAAGTCAAGACCTCGAAAATCATCACTAACAAATCTCTGAAAAGTTTATTCAGCATTGCTTAAGCTGGAAGGCATGTGCAAACGTTTTTAGAAGCCAAAAGGTGTGATGGCGGTTTTGGGGAATGTTGGCAGTAGCCATAGGATTTGGCTATAGGCATTAACCAAGTCGATTTTCCAAAAGACAGTTGTACCTTTCAATGTAGCTGTCATATAGTGAATGTGAGACAACGGGTAACTATTAGGAATAGTTTTCACATTCAACCACTGATAGTCACCAGTTGAACTCAAATCATTACTGTCCTTTTTGAGGGACGTGTACAAGGGAGATGCCTATGTGCTGTTTGATGGCCAAGTGATTCCTAAGTCTATCATATAGTCGAATTCGTTTTTAGCCAACCCCGACTATTCGGGAGCTAGTCGGTGCGCTTCCGAGAGTACAGGTGGTCCTGTAGTCGTGATGTGAGTTGTAACATTGATGGTTACGCATGACAATCTCGGTTGTGTATTGTGTATCTCGGAGCACTTATCGAATATTTGTTGGTAGTATGGACCGATTTTGTGTTTTACTGTGACTGGAGGTAATCTAAAACCGAGAAAATAAGTTACACAAACAGTAAAATTCGTACTTAGATATACTGTCCCCTGTTTCGCACGTGTCGACGAGTAGATTACGATGTTCTAGCAAGTCTATACCAATGAGTGAGATGGAAAAATCTGCAACAAAGAAGATCCAGTGGACGGGTTTTCTCAAATCCATGTTAAGGTGCACAAATCGCTGACCGTATGTGGCTATCCGTTTCCCATTTTATCGCCTGTAGGTTGAAAACTTGTTTGTTAGGATTCTAAGGAAGAACGCTAACTTCTGCTCCCGTTTCGATTAGGTAGATAAATTTCGTAACCACATCAGTGACGTATTACAGACGGCTATGGTAGCCTTAAACGCGTGTCGGCTGGGAAGTTTCCGGAAACGTTTTTCTTGTCGGTTGGTTTGGAGCTCGGAAATTTAGAGGGAATTCTGCAATTTCAAAATTTTCCGTACTGATTGTGATACCAGCACCAATCAGAATCATCTGTCTCTTGTGATCTAGAGACAAATCGTTTTCGTGAAGCACTCCTTCGAGGAGTTTGCGAGCATCTACGATAATGACGAAAATCAAGTTAGCGTGTCAGAGTATGTCGTAGTTCTGTAACGTTATTTACTTGTCAGTCGAAGATTTTCTTTGGCTGAGTAGACCTCAGAGTTAGAAGTTCTGGTGATCACAATTGATTGATCACTGGGTGGTGATCAATGTCATGCGTGTCAAGTCCTTCTTAGCGCTAATCGAATGCTATCGATCAAGTTGCAATGTGGCCACCAGTCTAGGTGACTCGACACTGCATGCACTACATATATTGAGGTAAGATGGTGGTTGGAGGTGGTCAACAGGAAACCCTGGACCCGGGTTTCGTGATACTTGGCACTCGTCAGGTGTACCTGTAATCTTGAGGGAACTGATGCTCCCTGGCGGATCGATAGAATTCGATCAGCACTAAGAAGGACTTGACACGCATGACATTGATCACCACCCAGTGATCAATCAATTGTGATTACATCTCAGTCCTACAGGAGGTTGGTCGCGGCCCGAATAGCTCAGTGGTAACGTCTCTGTGAAGCTGAGTGACACGAGACCGAATCAGCCAGGGCGCATCAGTTCCCTCAAGATTACAGGCACACCTTACCTCATGTTCTGGTGATCTCCAGAATTCAGCCAGCAGATTCAGTCAGCTTGTCCACAGCGTTCTTTTGAAGCGAGACAAGCACTGCATATACCTGCTGAGTAAGCTTAGATAAGAGAAGGTGTCTTAACTGACTATCTTCAAAGGTCCGTTGCCCAGTGACCTCTCTCAATCGTAGTAACATGTCCTTTGCTAAGACATGTTGCGGATCAATGTTGTGGAAGAGTTTGTCTAACCTCTGTCACTCGGTTAGACCTCCACGCTTAAGAACATCCTTTTTCAATTTCTTAAGGTTCCGAAGCGTCACTAGTAAACATACTAGGTGTGATTTACCTGTTGACATCGCGTTGTAGTGCTTATACTACTGAGGGGAGTTGTGCACATGTATTTGATGTGCAGTGCTGGCGAACGTCAGCTTCTGCGTAGCAGAACCAGGCCTCGATATTGCAGGGCCAAAATGGCTGAGGTGAAATAGTCTTAATCTTGAATAACTTAGGAGTCTGTTCCACCTTGATGAATATATAATATATTATTGAACGAGAAAAAACTGTCTGAAAATATGAAAACAAAAAATGATATATAGTCTTTCAATGAGAAACAGACTCACAGTTTACTAATTAGTGTATTAGATTACATAGGGATCACCACCAAAGACGATAGAAGTATTCAAAGTTTGTCAACAACTGAACTAATAATAAATTCTATAATCGAAGCATCCCAACTCAGCCAAATTGGAACTCAGAATTGAAGAAGCTCCAGGGCATACTTGATAGGTTATCGATATATCGAGAAGCGATCAATCTAAGCTGGTTAACCGTTGTAGGAGATGTGGTACACGAAGTACTCACTCGTGAGCCTTGAGCTAAATGAGTCTGATAAAATTAATGTAGTCTGCATTAAATCCAGAAGACTTACAGAGCTATTGATTTTGGGGGATTTATTTACCTCTACAGACTCTTACTAGTCCTGACATATTTATTGTCCTTACATGCCTATTTAAAGTTAGAGGAATGACTTGGGCCATCTATTTAAGAAAAAACAATACCAGTATCTCAAATTTTCATCAGAAAAAATTTCTGTCTGGTATGCTTGCTTTACAAAGATTGAAGGATTGAAGAAGTGCATATTAGCGGGAGCGATTAACTGTAACGATACAGGGTTAGTCAATGGTAGTCTTGGTGCTCACTTTTGACATTATAATGAGCTCACTCCTATTTAAGCTTTTCCTCCCCCCAAATCTTCATCAGGTTCATTAAGTTTACCAGAACTTTAGTGGGTTATGTTAACACGCAGGAAATGTGCTAGTTTTGAGTTGGTTTTAATTCAGGTCATTGGAAATAAAATTATGCTTTTCAACCATGCTGGTAACAATCACGAAAGTTACATCCATAGCAGTATCCAAATTAGTCTTCATTGATTACTATGGGGTCCTAGAAGTATTTATCACACCGAAGGAAGCTTTAGTTTTCTTCCTTCTGAAATTACGTGATGCACATGTATTCCTATGCTCATAAACATCAGCTAAGACAGAGCATTAGTAAGTGGACTTTTCATCAAAACTTGCTTTCTTTATGTAGCTGTTAGCTCAGAAATATTCAGGTCTTATGTCATGCAGTCAAGCATGTCATTTGTTTTTTATATGGATAGTGAATTCAACTCCTCACTACTTTTGTGTACAGTAAGGCGCCAGGGTATGCTGTTCAGAGTCACATAATAAAGACTTGATTTCAGCCATTTAAATCGCTCTGCACTTTGGATTAAACGATTCACATGTGAGTCTTGTCACACTCCTTTTGTGACTAGTTCAGAAGTTTGTTGATGTTCGTTGTTGGTCCATTTACTGCATCTCGAATTACTTTTTAATGTCAAGGTTTTCAAAGTCATTTCGGTCTGTGCAATAATTGTTTTGCGTCCACTTTTTAAATGACATTGCTATGACAGACCGATATATTTCTTTTCGGCCGTCAGTCAGTCACAACGTAAAACTTCGTACGTACGTACATCAGTTCGAGTTGCCATACCACATTAGCACAGAGATGAAGTTGTCAATTCAAATCCCATAGTGGTAGAAGTAGTAAGAGTATAAGCAGTAATCCGAAAGATTAGGGTTTAAAGATGTTATTCAAAGAGTATAATCCAATGAAATAAATTTGGAAAGAGAAAAAGATAGGGACAGTACATTATGGATCTCACCAGATGACATATATGGCTCTTATCTGTCCTATACTTAGTCACCACTCGTAGTGATAATTTTAATCAAGTATCCTCCAATTGTGGGTAGAAATAATCATAGCGTCCTCATATTCAAGTTGATTACTGCTAGATAACACCCCGGCCCACCCTAATATATGAAAAATAGACGTAAAGACGATCAGCTCTGTGGCCTTAACTGAGGCCTAAGAAATATGCACAGAAGTACCACTACATGTTATGGATTCAGTTCTGCCAGTCGTAGAGCTAAGCAACTCGACCATTTATGCCCTGGAAAGTTCCTTATTATTTATTTATTTATTTAAACATAAATATTGGTACAAAGGAGCACCATATATATATATATATATATATATATATATATATATATATATATATATATATATGCGCCACACAAATCTCATTTGATTTGTGTGAGGGCTGTGCCTAAAAAGTTCTGGTGAAGAAAAAGCAAATGCAATAAAACGCTGCAAGTAGATCTAGAAAAAGTGCAACAACAACAACCTTTGTAGTTCAGAAAATATACGAAAATCAGTTTTCACAAACTGCAGTCGGGGAGTTAAAGCGACTGTCCTTATACATCGATCACAGAACAAGAAAGCACCCATGGATTCCCGGTTTAATTTCGAGAGTTCATCCTAATTGATAGAGTAGAAGCCATGGGTGATGACTTCGTGACTATTTTCACTCACAAGCCTCCTATCAATATAGGACTAGCCCCAAAAACTCGCCGAATCGGTCACTCATTGTGGACTTCCATTAGAACGAGTTACCAAAAAGACTAAGCTCTTTAAACAAAAAAATCAGGACCGAATACTTTATACTCCTGGCTCTGTTCTAGGTCTTTTACTTTGATATCTTATGTAAATAAATTCCCGTGTATTGTAAGGACTCTGATGCTACTTTACTCTGGTGATGTCAAAATGTGACGAAAAGTGTCTGAGTGTACCAATGCTTGTGAATTTCAGGCCGATCTAAACGTTATGGCAAGCTGGTATAAATTTTGGTCAATGCCCAATCAACACAGTCATGTTTCTGCATTTACATTGGACACATATGTAAATAACGAAACATGGGGAAAACATCAGTGTCCTTAGCCCTGTATTATAACCATCTGCGAGCAATAGTGAGTCACAATCTTCGGACCACATCACACTGCCGTGCAATTGTGTCTGACGTGTTGAGAACCATGTGGGCATTAAGACAAACATTTACCAAGTTGGATACAAATATGTTCGCCATGGTATATATAGCCCTAGTGAGATCCAAACCTGGAGATTTTTCATGCTCCAAGACCTTGTTTAACTGACTCGGACATCTTGAAAAAGGTATGGAGTATAAATGTCCGTGCGATTCCGGAATTCTAAAGCTTACCATACACAGTAGGGGTTGAGAATTTAGGTCTGATTTGATGTATGGGATACTAAAAATGATTCTAGACCTGATATACCCTCTTTTTTGCAACTAGGTCAGAACAACTCATAAGATAGATGAGAGCAGGTTCAAAAGTTAAGAAAGAAAAAAATTCCTGTGGGTTTCATGTTTTTTATCCAAGTAATCAACTTTTAGGATCTACTACTGAAATAAAAGATATTCACACCTTTAATTGACTTATTCAAAAGAAGCTTAGATACATCGAAGGGACTAACAGACCATCGGTTTTGTCCTCAATACAAAAATCTGAATCTAGATAGCCTACCCATTTCTAAAGGGTTTTCATCATAAGTTTCAAATATTTTTCACTGCTGATGGTCTTATAGTTATTTATCTTCAATATATTAGTGTCTGTGTTTTGAACAGGTTTTTGTATTGTGTTTATTCAACGTTCACGGTTTAATACTTGGTAACTTTCTCGAATTATATCTCAAAATGTAAAATTTTACTTGCTGATGGGTTTGCTTTGTGAAGTCTCAAGTGAGGATCTTGCTATTTTTGTCCTTAGGGTATAATGGACTGGTTTCAAGCATTTACTGGCTTCTAAAGAAATTTGTATTTTACTCAGCACTTACTTTTGTGTACTTGCTTACAGGAATATGGCTGGAAGTAGGTGGCCGGCTGCAATGGCTCCTACTAACAGAGTCGGTAATGCTTCTCGAACAAAACAAGTTATTTTCGAACCTACGTTTGCCAAAGTATGTCTTTATCGTATGGGATATAGATTTTGTTAAGATGGAAAAAGAGAATTACGCTTTAACTCAGCGACTAAAGGAAGCTTTTTATAAGGTAAGTTTGAATTAAGATACAAAGTCGTACATATATTAGGTTGAGAAGCGATATCCTGGTTTCAGTAAAGATTTCATGATTGGATTGCTTCAACGGATGGGAGTCGATAGCGAAATTGACGTGACTGAAACGTGTTTACGGATTGCTGCTCTTCAAGAATGTGGTATTGTCTTTGTTATTGTCTAGATCGCATGTAATTTCAGATAATTCAAGGACGTCAAGAAGTCCTAGAGTTTTGGAGTTGGAACTTACGGCTAAGACATTAAAAACTATTCTTAGTAGCATACCTGATGAAATTATAGACCGCAGAGCATTTATAGAAGTCATCAAGTAATTTAATTATTCAACGAAAGTTATTTACTTAGAGGTATAGCAGATGCAATAAAGATGTTGTTAGCTGCTGTGGGTGCGTTTTATGACACGTTACCACCGGGAACACAAAAGAAATGTCTCGAAGATCAAAAACGAAAATTTATCACCTACTGTCGTAAATTCAGTGATACTTTGAAGCAATACTTTAGGAACAACGAGTTAGTGTTAAATTATTTATCTAAAAATTCGGTTCTTGCTGTTTCTTGTATTTCAGTAGCCATCAAAAGTAAACTTAATAAGTATGAAAAACGGCTTCCCTCACAAATGTTTGGTAGAGCTACCGTAGGTATGATACTCATCCTAAGCTGTTTATCACTTCACTTTCTAATTAGACATTCCACTTAGTTCGACTTCTAAATTTTATTTAAAGTAGTGTACTGACAAGCTAAATCTTCTTCTTGTTCCTATTCATTGTTGTTAGTTATTCAGTTTTTTCGTACTTAACAAATCTTTAGTCTCACTACACGCTGTTTATTCCACTATCTTTCTTCCTCATCGTCCATTTGTTTCAGATGTAATATATTGACTTTGTCTAACCGGTAATTGGGATTAGTGGTGTTGTAATTCAACATGCTAAGCATTCAACATTTAACCTATGCTTGATGTGTCTAAAATCTGCCTTAAATAATTCAACTAAAGCAGTCAGGTTATGGATCATACCGTAAATTCATGAAAACCTGATAGATGAATATATTTTAGATTGTATTGGATTACTTACACATTTCCATCTATTTTCATCCATATATTGACCTTTGTTTTATGAGGTTAAATTTATATCAGTCCGATGAATGTTGACAAGTTCTATCGAGACAAACTATGTCGTGTAGAGGTTAAAACAGGTCTCAGGGTGTTGATCAGATACTTGTTAATCCTATTTGTCCACCGAGAACATTGAGTTTGGGGTCTACTTATGCCATACGGTTGCCCAAGTCGAAGTAGACGGAACGGGTCTCGGACCTGTGACTTAGTGTCTGAAATGCCTTAACTACTGAACTACGGCTCCGTTAACCTGTTAAATGGTTTCAGAATTACATCGGGGACAAGATTTTTAGCACTTGTTTGTTGTACGATGCTTTTAAATAACTAGCAAATTAGTTTAAGGACTTCATTCTTGGTTCACTTCTGTTTTTGTTCACCAGCGACGCACTCAGTATTCTGTTCATGATTCTTTAAGATTTCGGAGTGTTGTGTTCTACGATTTTCATCAAGTACATTTCCTTATTTATTTATGCAGTTATTGGGTCGTGTTCAAGTTGTCTTGGGATTGTCATAAAGGATTATCACATAACAGTTCACTATCATACCACGACTACAGTTATAAATCATAATGCTGTGCTGTTATTTGTTTGATCTACTTGATAACTTCGTTTCATGTTTATTTGATTACTTCTTTCTTATCTACTACTTGGGTATGAACTTTACACCATAGACCTGGTATTCTAGAAAGTATCCACACTAATCCGGAGATAGAGTATGGAAAATGTTTCTCTCCTGTATTTTTTTTTAAGTCGTACTTATATGAAATGGGTATACGGTTTTTAAAGTTTTATAGTTTTCGGCTCTATACGGAATACTAAACTATTGTAAAAAACATATATATATATATATATATATATATATGTATAATTATTATCAAGCAATGCGTTAAAATATATTGTTGCTGATGTGTACGTTCAGTAATAAATTAGATGAATGATTTATTTAATTCACCTAAAACTTGGTATAACGACACCAGAATTATATAAACCACTCGAAAAGGAATAAGGTGGAACACAAAATAAGTGAACTAAAATGGTATATAGAATATATAATTCAGTAAAAATACAACCAACAAAGACACCCAGTTTAGAAAATTCATCACATTTTTACGGATTATGTAAAAACACTGCATCAGGATTGCCATTGGTTTCTATTTTGCCCATGTGGGATAGTTTCTCAAGAATTGAGTCGAACCATATTTAGAACCTGGACTAGGGACTCGTAGTGTCCCATGTATCTACTTTCCACACAATCCTAAACTGACCACCTCTCCCCTTTTTTTCTGCTCAATCCAAGCGTTTTCGAGTAATGCACAGAATAGGAGCTCCTGTGATGATATTCTTAACACATCCTCAAGCCACCGACGTCAACGTCTTAAGATGGTGGCACTGGTAGTATTATCGTCACTGCGCCTAAACACAAATCTCCACAGGTTTAAGACCCACAGCTACGTGCTTCAGAACTTTCCAGAATATCGATTACAAAGTTTATGAGGAATGATGAGATTAACTAGTCCTACCTAATACTACTGTTGGAATGAAACGATGAAGAGGGTGGTTGTATGCTTTCATTTTCTACGAAGTGTTTGTCTACAAATATTTATGATATTCTCGAGCACACTCTTCAACAGATGATCGTGAAGCACAGTTCTGTCCAGCAAATCAAAGGTGACCCTGATATCAAGCAGCTGATTGTTAATCTGCAATAAAAGTGGATGTGCTCTGACATTCGGTGATGTGTGTGGAAATGATCGATATACCTACAACCTGATCAAACACTGGAGATCTAATACCTTACCACTATATATATATATATATATATATATATATATATATATATATATATATATATATATATAATCAAGTAATTGCGTATATGCTGGAATATTTAGATCATATTTAAGAACTTAGTGCTCATGAGTTTATATTGCTAATCGTTTATGGCTAACACGACAACCTTAGTGACCGTCTTGCATGGGAGTTACTTTTAGTTAACTGTGCTCACAAACATGTATATCATTTCTCGAATACTTCCGGATTTGATGTGTCTATAGCTCCATAGTTGTTTTGTGTACATAAAGGTTCTCATTTTGATTACGTTGATTCGCAAATAGTAATCATCATTAGGACATTATAATGAGAAAAAGAAATTTTCTATACGTTTGTTATTTGTATGATTACTATTTAATATTAGTCTAATTTCCACTTTCTAGAAAATCACCCATTCCTCTCGTGTTATTTAAATTGAATTAATTCTTAAATGTTTGACCCTTCTTTTTTTTAGTCAAACTGTGGTTTTTAGCAGCGCAAACCTACTGGTTAGCCAAACCAACCTAATTTTGTTTGTAGTTCACGATGTAAATTGAAGAAAATGGAAAAATACAACCATTGTTAATATTCTGTGCTTATATCGAACTATATTTCTTTATTAATGTGATTTATGAATAATTTAAAAATTAGTTTTTACTTTTGCGTAAACATCTATATTAAACTGGTTACTTTTTTTAAACATTAAAATTGCGATTTCGCGTTACTTTTTTAATATTTGACTAAGTGACAAATTATTTTGCATCATTATTTATATTTTCTTTACTTTCAGCTCCTTGTAAATTGAGAATAGGAGCTTTTTATGAAATAGGATATAAAATTTCTTGTGCTTCAAGTTTGACTTTTACGCTGCATAGTGTGACCCTTTTGACAAGCCATATAAACTTGCACAATTTATTTAGCTACTTGTGATAAATGATTTTAAAACAATCATAGAAGTAAAGTAGACTATCTCTGATTGATCCCATTGATTATTCCCCTTGCATACATTCGTCTATTTGTCTTCTAAATACTTAATCATTTCTTACACACGGCTGATTTTAAGCTTAAAAGAATAGTTGACAGGGCAATTCGGTGACGGTTTATCGTTTTGGTCAGATATATAATGCACGATAATGTTCGTGGGATAGACTACATTCAGATGACAATTGAAGTGTAAATTGTTTTTGTTTACATTTATGTGCTTTAAGTGATGCTATTTTGAGAGTCAACAATTTAGCGTATGGAAAGTATTTGTAGGTCAGAATGTGAATTCTGGGTGTTTTTTTTACCTGGTCGGGATGGTTTAATCGCAAAGCTTTCATTGTCTTTCTCGACAGCATTATCAACATAAACTTCAATGAGAAGTATTATTAGGATTTTTCTACCATTGTCTCTACTTGTTCTGTTGACTTAGAATTTGATTGATTTTGAGATGGTGGAGAAGATTTGTAGCTCAGGTGGGTGATTTTGATGTTGGTTTGTTCTCTGAGCTGGGTGGTTTGGTCGTGGAGCTTTCATCGTCCTTCTGAACGACATCATCAGCACAAACTTCGGGTAGAAGTGAAGTGTTTGAATTTCTCCACATGTGATTCACAGCTTGTCCTCTGCACCTCGATGTTGATTGGTTCTTATTGACCTTAAATCTGTCATTGTTTATTTCTTTGTTTTAGTTGTATCTCCTATTGGTTTGATTTTTGTTCCTATCTTCCTGCATAATTTTCTTGATTGGTTGAAACCATAATTCTACCAGTGATCAAACCGAAAATTTGGATTCGTTATGTAGACGACACATTCGTCATCGTCAAAAAGGAGAAACTAGAAAACACCTACAAGCAGATCAACAACGTCTTCAACGACATCAAGTTCACAATGGAACAAGAGTCGGACAACAAGTTACATTCTTAGATGTATTAATCACCAGAACTGACACAGGAAAACTAGAGACTCAAGTGCACAGGAAGCCGACCCACACCGATCAAATTCTCAACTACAATAGCAAGAACTCACAAAATCAACTGTGTACAAGCTTTGTCCAAGAGGGCGAGAACACACTGCAATACAATCACAGCACGAAATAATGAAGAAAAACACCTGAAAACCATTCTTCAAAAGAACGGCTATCCAATCAATTTCATCAAAAAATACCAGTCGCACACACCATCAGAAACGAAATCAGGTATGAAAATCAACAAAAGGATCACCCTACCATACGTAAAGGGCATATCGGAAACGACAACAAGGCTGCTGAAAACCTAAGGAATAGGTGTAGCCCACAAACCAACAAAGTCCCTCCACTCAATCTTATGCAAACCAAAAGATGAAATAGCAAAAGAGGACAAAACAAACATCATCTACAAGATAAATTGTACCAACTGCAACAAACTATATTGAACAAAGCGGACGCCCCCTGCACCTTCGCCTACATGAACACCAATTAGCAGTCAAACGTCACGACATTTCTTCACTCATATCAATACACGTGGACAACTACGGACATACATTCGACTGGGAAAACGTGCAGATTTTGGACAGAGGCAATTCCAAAAATACCAGAGAATTTTCAGAAGCTTGGCACTCAGGTCAATCAGCAATAAACAAACATATTGAAATCAATCCAATCTATCAACCAATCAAGAAAATTGTGCAGGAAGATAGGAACAAAAATCAAACCAATAGGAGATACAACTAAAACAAAGAAATAAACAATGACAGATTTAAGGTCAATAAGAACCAATCAACATCGAGGTGCAGAGGACAAGCTGTGAATCACATGTGGAGAAATTCAAACACTTCACTTCTACCCGAAGTTTGTGCTGATGATGTCGTTCAGAAGGACGATGAAAGCTCCACGACCAAACCACCCAGCTCAGAGAACAAACCAACATCAAAATTTGATTGATTGTTACCCGTAGGTGTATCGCCGTTGTTTACTCCTTAAACCTTGGAGTTGTTTAAAGTTTTTCTTGTTCGTTGCCAATGACTGATTGACAAATTTGTCTTCTAGGGTGCGATTCTGGCTATTGTTAAACATACTAAAAAGGTAGACTGCTGGTAACACTTTGCCTGATATTTACTGTGCCAATTCAATTATTCTATACTGGATCTAAATTCATGCCTAAAAGAGTACGAAGATGAGAATTTATAGCAATAAAATGTCTCATACTTTGGCGTGTTTCGCGAAATCCGTCCTTTAACTTGACATGACCAAGTAACTACTATTCGAAAATCCAACTTTACATGAAACTCACAATATATAAATGATAGAAGATAGCTTAAAGACAAACATTTATTGTCCCAAAAAACTTATATAATTATGTGCCTGATAAGAGTGAAAATAAGCGACTCTGGTTCGTGATTTTGGCAGCCCGTTTAGCGACCAATCAGAATGAAGCGAGAATCATCATCTTTGTAAACAATGGCCGTTGGCTTGTCTAGGTCTGTTAGTGTTGTATGTCGAAGTGAGACAAATTATTTCAGGAAAACATGTATACATTTCAACTTGCTCGTCAGTACTGAATGCTATTCTCCTCACTTGGTTAGCGTCCCCACCATTGGATACATGTCTTTTCCCATTACTACTTAAGGTTGAAAGCATGTCACTGAAACTCTCAGCTTGAAGAGTCATAGATCTATAGGAGAAACTTACGTTTGACAACTTTATATTCCAAATTATTGACAATAATGAACGGTAATGGCCTCTACAAATTTGTCTCCGACATATATTAACAATCTGCTCAGGACCACTCCCAGTTTTTATCATCGATATAACAACTAGAAATTGATCATCATTTAATTTCTTGTAGCATGCATCATATGTCATATACTTTTAATCACAAGGATGGTTTTGGTTCATCTTAGATGAAACTATCATCTACCCGTTGAGATCATACCTCAAACGAAACATGGTTTCGCAACCGGTAAACTTTGATCTATACAAAAGTTAGTATAATAACAGTTATTTACTCTTCCAATCTCTGACCATCCCGACCGTTGCTGCTACCTTGACGTGGTGGCCGGGCTTGCCTATCGTGATGATCCGATCGAG